TATATATATAGTGTAATAAACAGATAATATATACATTGCCAATATTGATTGAGGTATTCAAGACGAATACATAAGAGACGTGGTTTACATCATCATGCCAAGCTCCTCATGTTCGTTGTCATGGTACATCGAGGTTAAAATTGTTGAATATCGAGCAGTCATCATCGATCATAGATTATGTATCGTTGTCACCAACTGTCAATCTCAGCCAACAATCATCAACTTCAATCTTCAATCACAAATTGTTATCGTCGTAGTAATCATTAAAGCCGTCTTCGTTTTCGTGTTCATCAACATTATCAAATAACATTTGTGGTCAAATTGTAGCTGGTGGGTATTGACCCACACGTTAATAATGGACGGGCCGTGTCTGTGTGTATACTGTTGCATTGAAAGTTGATTTCTTACATTTGGCATTATTACGGTAGCAAAAATTGGCAAAAGCAGTGGCGTAACGCCCGTGAGCTCTCGTGGGGCGCAGTCCTGGGCCCTCACTCAAAAAGGGGCCCCGAAGGTGTCCCCGAGGACCTCTACTACTATACGTAGCAGTTGACTACCGAGCCCTAACAGTGGCGTAACGCATGTGTCCTTTCCTGGGGCCCCGGAGAAAACACGGGAGCCCCTCTTAATACTACTACCAAGCAATCTACTCAAACGTCTTGAGAATACGGTACGGTACTATACTTTTCTATAATATTCAAAAAAATCAGAGGGGCCCGGGACCCTTCCTAATACGACCCAGCATTTTACTATGGAGCTTTGACAATTTGTGTAACGCCTGTGTGCTTTCTTGAGCCAACGCCTAGTTCCAAGTCCAAATGAGCCCCAGGGAGGCTACGGGGGCTCCTCTTATCTTCTACCCAACACTCTTATACGACACTTTTGATAATAATACGGTATACATTTTCTTTTAATTTTCAAAAGCGTACGGGGCCCGCCGGCCACCCTGATATCAAGCTCCCTTGAACATCAATAAATAAAGAAGTAAATACATGAATACGGTACCCATCAAAGTAGGCCTATTATTAAATACATGTAAAACATTATACATAACATGTTAAGAGATCTGTTAAAACAGTAATAATAATTAGCTGAATAATAAAACTCTCTTTACTGGTGGCTTACAGCGCTATAAGACCAATATTTTATTGGAACAGGTGAGCAATGTAATGCAATGTATATATAGCAATGTAAAGTACCGGTAATAGGCCTATAGTCATCGATTGACCTATAACTTCATTTAATTCAGATTGGCCTGATCACAGGTTCCTGTTTCAGAGCAACATAATTTGTGGTATCGAATTAACACTTTATCAAAACAATCAATTTGGTTTATACTTAACCGTTTTTATATTGGTATTTTTAAGCCTACCTATTACTATTAGCAGGAAGACACGAAGAAAAGTGATCCTAAAGTCTTCGGCTTACAATTATTATGGGCAAAGTAAATATGTGTCCGTCTCTGAAATTTTATTATATCAAATAGTTAATATGTTGGAATGGCACCTTGTGAATGTAACCATGGAAAACTGTGGGTAGGGCTATGCGACGTGCGAACCACCGAGCAGGGAAGGGGGACAATGCTGTTGAGATTTTTGTTTGAAATTCTTGAGACCATAGACACTGGTATATGAAATTTAAATCGTTGTTTGAAGTAGGCCTACAGTACCGTGCTCCACTCTTCAGGACTGTCTTTTCTTTTCTTCTCTTTTTTTTCTATCTTTCTGGGGACGGGGGATAGTCTCCCTGGATCCGCCCCTGATAACGATTGATTGAATTACTGTTTGATAATACTTATTTATTTAGGCTTATATTGACAAAGCTTTATTGGAACTTAGATCAATACATTTATGATTAAGCATGTTACCTACTGTATGCACGCTAATGAAATGCACGTACGCAAATGACGATTTATACATAGACCAAATAATACGTTGCACGCGCAAACAGTGTTCAAATTAAAAATGTATGTGTGCAAAATATTAGTCTATTTTAAAAGAGTCACACGACATATATTGACATTGTCTATTACGTAAATACAGTGTTTTAAGCCTTAACAATTATCTCTATTACCCACCCCGGTCACTTGGAGCGAAAATACTTTGCTGAAAGGACCCCCAACTTTCTCTTCCCCTGGCCACATGTCTCGTCGTTACGCCACTGCAAAATCATTGATTGTGTTTTCATTTGATTATATGTTAATATGACTTATCATTCATAACCATCAAGAGAAGGAGTGTTAAATTGTAGTTGTGTTAAACTACATGGTGAAAATACATGCACTTGTGTGTTTTAAGGTCACAGGACATCTGGATATGAAACGTTTTCTATACGAAAGTTGAGTAAATAATCCTCATTGAAATGTTCACCGTAAGTGGGATTGTTGGATTGATTTGTGACGACATTTCGTATTTAACCACTTACCAGCAATAATCCGCTTATTTTAAAAGAACAACCTGCCAACTAGAGGCCTAAATTAATCATATTCATTAACAAATGGCTACACCCTTCCTTCGAGGAAAATTGAGTTCTGTAGCTAGCACAATGAATAGGGACTGCAGTTTTTCTATTACAAAAGTAACGAACTTGACATAATTCATCATAGTTACCAAAAAATATGAGTACATTTATTTCAACATTTGTTCCCCATTAATTATATAGACATACAGAAACAAATAGCTGCATAAAATGTATAAACAGTTATTTGAAAGAGCCCGTATGCAGGAATTTTAAAGAGCGGGGGGGGGGGTTTCTAATTTTTCACAAAAGGGCACTTTGAGTC